TTGGTGCAGGTCCAGATGTTGGTGCAGGTCCAGGTGTTGGTGCAGGTGTACTTTCTATTGGAAGAAAGACAAAAAACACATCCAACAATGTTCAGTCAGGTCATCTGGAATGTTTCTTGTTTTGCGCTCAGACGTTTTGCCCTCCATCCGAAGGGCTTCATCAGCCTGAGGAACCACCAAACAAAAATGATTCTCCACCAACAGCCGACTCCAAAGTAGAAAAAAAACACAGAAAAAGTGTTTTGAACCACTTTGACTTGACTGTTAACGAGAAGAGAGCGTGTTCCAGAGACCATCTTAGCACCAACACAACCGTTTTCTTTTTTTTTCCATTTTGGAGTCGGCTGTTGGTGGAGAATCATTTTTGTTTGGTGGTTCCTCAGGCTGATGAAGCCCTTCGGATGGAGGGTGAAATGTCTCAGCGCAAAACAAGAAACCATTCAGATGACCTGACTGAACATTATTGGATTTTATACCTGGATTATTGAGCATGGGCTTTTGGTGTTTTGAACAAAAAAACACGTTAATGATATAAATACCTGTAATTACAAACACAAACAGGTAGAGTGAAGCAAGGAAAGACAGCAGCAGAGTGAGGAATTATGGTCAATTTGTTCTCAAGCAGTCTATAGCAACAGAACTAAGGGACAGCTCAAGAAACCCTAGCCATCCCTAACTATAGGATTTAAAAAGGAAATTCTTAATCCCAGTCTTAAAACCGGACAATGTGTCAGCCTCATGGACAGAAACTGGAAGTTGTCAAGAGAGGAGCCTGAGAACTGAAAGATCTTCCTCCCATTCTGTTTTTGGAAACTCTAGGAACTGTGAGTAAACCTGCAGTCTGAGAGCGAAGTGCTCTGTTAGGAAACTATGGAACAACAATGAATGGTGAATGGACTGTACTACAGCACCTTGCTATCTTATCGAGATTCTCAAAGCTCTTTACAACAATCTGTGTCCTCATTGACCCATTCATACAGCTCTATACTAGATCTCTACAAAGCTAATTGAACAAATCATTCTAAAGAGACTAATCAGAGCTTTATCACATTCATACACTGATGGGACACACATCAGAAGCTATGAGGGGTTCAGTGTCTTGCCCAGGGACACTTCAGCATGTGACTGCTGGTGGATTTGAACCCCCAACTCTTGCAATGGAGGACGACTGCTCTAACGACTCAGCCACACAAGATCTGTAATATAAGATGGAGCTAGGTTGTTGAGAGCTTTGTAGGTTAGAAGATTTTAATCCTATTCTGGATTTGACAGGGAGCCAATGGAGAGAAGCTAAAACTGGAGAGAGATGATCTCTCCCAGTAACTCCAGTTAAGGCTCTGGCAGCAGCATTTTGGATCAACTGAAGACGTTTTAAAGAAGTATTTGGACACCCAGATAATAAACCATTGCAATAGTCCAGTCTAGACGTGACAAATGCATGGACCAGTTTTTCTGCATCATCTTTAGATCAGATGTTTCTAATGTTAGTGATATTACACAGGTGGAAGAAGGAGGTTCTAGTAACGTTTTTAATGTGGGGGATAAAAGACATGTCCTGATCAAAAATAACACCAAGATTGTTAACATTAGAGCTGGAGGACACATTAATGCATCTAAGGAGGGAGAAAGACTGAAACATTCATTCCTAAGGTGCTCAGGTCCAAAAACTACAACTTGTCTGAGTTTAAAAGCAGAAAATTAAGGGTCATCCAGGTTTTTATGTCTTTAAGACATGCTTGTAGTCTAAGTAGCTGATTGGAATCATGGGGTTTAATGGACAAATATATCTAAATATCATCAGCATAACAATGAAAATGTATTCCATGCTGTTTAATAACTTTACCTAATGGAAGCATATATAAAGTAAAGAGTTTTCATTCATTCAACTTTTATTTAAAAATATAAATCACATTGAGCCCCAAAGACTCATTTACAAGTGAGACCTTAGACATTAAAGAGCATTGGTCTAAGTACTGAACCCTGAGGAACTCCTTGACTAACTTTGGTGTATGAAGAAGATTCATTATTTACATTTTGGAATCTATAAAAATAATATGATTTAAAACATTTTAACAGTTTAGAGCTGTTCCTGTAATCCCAATAACATTCAAGTCTCTAGTAAAATATTTTGATCAACTGTATCAAATGCAGCACTGAGGTCTAACATCTTTGTTGTAAAGAAGAATGGGTCAACATTTGTCGTCAGTCATGTGAGAGACAGAAAGTCCTACAAGAAACCAGTCCTGCGAGTTACTGATGCTAAAGGATGTTCTACAAGCTGCTGGATCAGAGCCTGGGTGCGGTTTTTTGACACAAAGCCTTATTATTTTAGCTTCATACTTGTTTAATAATTAGTGACATATGATCACACATCTGATGTGTGCTTTACCATACCATACCATACCATACCATACCATACCATACCATACCATACCATACCATACCAATTTATTTATATAGCACTTTAAACAGTGACAAAGCACACCAAAGTGCTGTACAGGGACAAACAGAACAAGCACATAGCAACAGATTACATAACAGGACACCAAAAAGTAGAAACCAACAAAAACAATAATGGATAACAACAACAACCGCAACATGATTAACACAGTGTGATGCACACAGACTCAGCACAGATCACACAGTGCTGAAAGCCAGGGAATAGAAGTGTGTTTTTAAGCGAGATTTAAAAACTGTGAGGGAGGGGGCCTGTCTAACGAGCAGAGGTAACTCATTCCAAAGTCTTGGTCCTGCTACAGAGAAGGCCCTGTCAACTCTGCGCTTAAGACGGGTTCCTGGGACTGTTAGGAGCAAATGGTCTGCTGATATGAGAGAACGTGGTGGGACATACGGCTGGAGCAGATCAGTAAGATAGGAGGGGGCAGAGCTGTTTAGTGATTTATAGACATACAAGAGTATTTTGAATTTGATTCGAAGGTGTACCGGAAGCCAGTGTAGGGAGGCCAAAACAGGTGTAATGTGCTCTCTTTTGCTTGTGCTGGTCAAAAACCGGGCTGCTGCATTTTGGACCAGTTGGAGTCTAGCTATGGAGGTCTGACTGATACCAAAAAGGAGTGAGTTGCAATAGTCGAGCCTGGATGTCATGAATGCATGAATTACTGTCTCCAGGTTATTTTTGGACAATATGGGCTTCAGCTTAGACAGTCGCCTTAGCTGGAAAAAGCAGGATTTAACAATCATATTTACATGATTGTTGAGTTTCAGAGAAGGGTCAAGTATCACTCCTAGATTAGTGACTTTTTGTTTCACTAACGGTGACAGAACGGATAGGTCGATGCAGTGGTTGGTGATTGTGTCATTGGGAGGAAAGAGCATAACTTCAGATTTCTTCTCGTTGAAACTCAAGAAATTTAAAGCCATCCAATCTCTGATGTCAGCCAGGCAGTCCAGTAACGGTTGAATAGAGCGAGTACCGTTGAGTCTGAGGGGGATGTAGATTTGGCAGTCGTCGGCGTAGAAATGAAAAGGTATGTTATGTTTCCTGAAAATAGCACCTAGTGGCAGCAGGTATAAAGAAAATAAAAGAGGACCAAGGATGGACCCTTGTGGTACCCCCCATTTAAGCGCTGCCGAGGCTGAACTAAAATCTTTGATGGAGACACAAAAAGACCTGTCAGCGAGGTAAGATCTAAACCATTCGAGGGCTGACCCAGTGATGCCCACCCACTGCTCTAACCTCGCAATGAGGATCTCGTGGTCGATTGTATCAAAGGCAGATGTGAGGTCCAGTAAGAGAAGGAGCACAGAATCACCAGCGTCTGTGAATAGGAGAATGTCGTTAAAAACCTTGAGTAGAGCAGTTTCAGTGCTGTGGAGAGGTTTAAAGCCAGACTGGAATAGCTCTAAGATGGCATTATCCTCTAGAAAGCATTTCAGCTGGGACTCCACTATTTTTTACAGCAGTTTAGCGACAAATGGGAGCCTGGAGACAGGCCGGAAGTTGGACATGACTGAGGGGTCAAGGCTAGGTTTTTTCAGGAGAGGTTGGACAGCAGCATGTTTAAAAGTTATTGGCACCACACCTGAGGCTAAGCTGCTGTTCACAATGCCAAGAACAAGAGGGCCCAGAACAGGAAGAAGCTCCTTCAGGAGTCGAGGGGGGACAACGTCAAAAGGGGAGCCAGATGGCTTCATGCCGCACATGACCTGCTCCAGGGAAGACAGAGAGATGGGCTCGAAGTGGTCCAGAACAGCAACACAATGAGATGGGATGGACGGATCATGAGCAGGTGGAGAAATGAGTGCCCGGGTGTTTGCAACTTTTTCAGAAAAGAAATGGAGGAAGTTTTCACACAGCTCAGTTGAGGCTTCTAGAGGTGAAGGTTCACTGAGGTGTAGAACTGAGTTCATGGTGGAAAAAAGGGCTCGGGGGTTGTGGGAGTTTGAGGCAATTATCGCAGAAAAGAACTTCGATTTGGCGGCTTTAACTGCCTTCTGATAATGACGCCAACTCTCCTTTAGGATTTGAAAAGAAACCTGCAGCCTGTCTTTCCTCCACATGCGTTCTGCTCTCCTACACTGCTGTCTAACGGCTTGAGTGACGTCATTAAGCCATGGTTCTGATAAAAGTTTTGTTTTCCTGGTTTTAACGGGAGCAACACGGTCCAGAATATTTAAGCAAACAGAGTTAAGCTGAGAGGTTAGCTCCTCGGTGGAGAGAGACACTGAGAGCTGATGGATCCTCTCAGAGCTAAAAGCTTCAGTAAAACGTGCAGCAGTGAAACGGTTAATGGCGCGTGAAGTACGTGCAGAATCACATGACTTAGCAGTAGGACAAGGCGGGATGATATCAAACAAGACAGGCATGTGGTCTGAGAGAACGTTGTCACCGATTACCAAATTACAAACAGAGACATCGCGTGTTAAAATGAGATCCAGAGTGTGACCGTGTTGTTGGGTGGGACCATTTACATGTTGAGTTAAATTAAATGAGTCCAACAAATCAAGGAAGTCCTTCACTAACGGCTTCTCCTGACAACAGACGTGAATATTAAAGTCACCAACGATAATAAAGTGATCATATCTTGGTGTGATGTAAGCCAGAAAATCAGAGAATTCACTTATGAAGTCCTTGGAACGAGGGGGGCGATAAACAATCGCGCACAGAATGGGAGGAGAATGTCCGAGTTCAAAAGCACTCAGCTCAAAACTGGAGCAGGGCATGAGGGTGGACAACTGTTTATAGGAAAAGTTTGATTTAAATACAGTTAATATTCCACCACCCCGCCGACCTGATGGCCGCGGGGCATTAAAACACAGACAGTCAGGAGGTAAAAGTTCCACCAAGGCGCTTGAGTCACCCAAAGGCAACCAGGATTCCGTGAGAAAAAGAAAATCTAGTTCCTCGTCTTTAAAAAAGTCATTTAGAATAAAAGTCTTGTTGGCAACAGACCTTGTGTTGATGAGGCACGTCCTGATCTGGTCCGACACAGAACCAGCCATGGTGGGGGTGGTGCGCGCCAACGGTTGCAGATTTTTAAAAACAGCGCCTCCAGGATGGTCCAAGCACCGGGCCGGTAGACAACACCCATATTGTCCCTGGTCCGGGCACGTAGGAAGCTGGCTGTGGAAACGTTGACCACGCAGAGCTTTGAGTTTTACCAGCCGGCCGGCACGTTTTCCCCGGCGTCTGGATCGATATCTCCGAGAAGGCAGGCTTGGGGCCCAGCGTAAACAAGCAGGCACGTCTGCCAGAAGGGGTGAAAGGTGGGGGGGGGTCCCGAGTCACGATCAAAATGGTCAGAATCAGCGACAGCAGAAACAGACAATCGAAGATCGAGGAGCTGTTGTCGGTCATACACAAGCAGCGAGTTGATATCCCAGACAAAAAACGAAAAAAGCAGAAATAATCCAAACAGTGTCGTCAGAGGTAGATTGCAGGCCATGTACACGGGCGCCATCTTACCAGAAGTCACCACTTAGTACACTTGAGGTTGCATTTTAATCATTTTAGAACCTGGTAAAGCCCACATCGTGTTTATGAAGTCCCACTATGTAAAATCCTAGACCTGAAAGGGGCTGGACTTTGTTTTTTCCATGACTACTGTTCTTATGTGACTTTGTGCTGTTTGTCTACAGACATGGAGGAGGTTTGTTCTCTTATGGTTCTCCTCGGATCCGGATAGACCGGGAGGAAAATTATTTCTTCGGGAAGAAGAGCTCTGAAACTGAACTGTGACAGAAATCTCCAGGAACACAGCACATCGTTGTCACGACAGCCATCCTTTGTTTTTGTACCACAGTGCCGACTCCTAACCACGTTTTTATCTTTTCATGTAAAGATTTAAATCCAAGCTGCTGGAAATATTTGTTTCAGCACTTTGAAGGTACCACATTTGAACAAGGACTCTGTTTCTTCAGCTGCAGGATTTCCTGCAGCACAGGGCTACTACCGACTTAAAATCAGTGTTTGTCAGAGATTATTAATGTCACTGTTTGTGATTTATAAACCATTCATCTTTTCAACACCAAAGATGTCCACGAGAAAGCTTTAAAATATAATTAATTTACATTACAGGAGGAATTCCCTCCAGTTTTAAATTATTTTATGAACAATACAAACAAAACCAATGTATCTATTTTATTATAAGTTTAGAAGTTATTTTTTAAAATCAGAACTGCTGTAATCTTTAAATGAAAGTCATTCTTGCTGTGTTGAAAACAAATCTATGCACGTTCAATCAGTTTGATCAAATATTTATTGAATGTTTTGTATTTATTAATATCTTTTCATAATGATGTAAGAAAATAATTGTTTAGGTCAGTAAAAACTCACAAAACTTGCAATTTTATTACTTAATCGTCCTTCCCTTTGTTCAATATTTATTATATTTAAGTATCAGTGAAGTAACTTGATTTAATTTTATTGAAAGCGTTACTTGACCAGTGGTGGATTTTGTTTTCCTGACACGTCTTCCTGTGTTCTCAAATGTCTTTTCCCTGTTTGAGGGAGTTTTAATGGTATGTGACATAACTTTACTTAGCTCTACCTCTTTTATTTTCAGCAGATGTGAGGTGTGAACTGTTCAGCCCATCTCTTGTGCAATGATTTCTGGTCACTGGCGCCGAATAACATATCTGAATTTTTTTATTTCAGCTTCCTTTTACGTCATGTATGGTTTTATTCTGTTGCCATAGAATAATGTTAAAAACTAAATCATTTAGGGGTAATTCTAACTCACTTTTCACATAAGGTTAATAATTATTTAAATTATTGTTTAATAATTCAAACTGACAATAATTTATAAGTCTGCTTGTTCTATCAAATGCTAAAGTTGGAAGGATATTTTATTCTATTTTATGAATTGAGTACCAGGCAGGGGTCATAATCAACTCCATCTGTTTTAGAATAATGTTATTTTAAGAGATAAGCATGTTCAGAGGTTGATGATTAAATCTGAGAGTATTTTTTAAAGTTGTGTATTTTTTTTTAAACATTGCAAATTAAAAATCATTTAAGATGTGACTGATTATGGAGGTTTTTCTGCTTTACAAAATATAAATAAATGGTATAGAGTTTGTACAGCTTCACTTCAAAGTTAAAGTGGTTTTCAAACTCCATGTAGCAGAGACAAGCATCTTATTTATTGTCAAATGCTGATGATGCTTCAAATGATGCTTCTGTTGCTGATTAAAGTACAAATATTTATTGACATCAACAATTATGTGTTTGGCCATCTTTGACTCATGTTTCACATCGTTCCATCAAAATGTTCAAATTAATGACAAATATTGTTGCTTTGACCCAAAATTCACGCCGTCTTCCACAGTTTTGTAATCTGTATATTTTGATCAGTTCATGTCCTTAATATTTCATTTTTTATGCTGTACCACTGAAACCAGTTTTATACAATCATCTGCGTTAAACTAAATGTCAGTTATTCAGAAGGAGAAAAATAAATCAGTGTTTTTCTATGAACTACTGTTTTAAATGAAAGCAACAAAAACACCAAATGATTCTTACACGTTTTTATTTAACCACAGGTTTATTTTTTTTACTTTGGAGCTCTTTAACCATCCTATTATGCTTTCATTCCTGAACTAATTTCTTACAAATAAATATGACGTATGTTGTCACCTTATGCTGCCATACAGTACATCTTTTTAGCAACTTGTTTCCGTACGAACAGTACAAATTTAGATTCACGTTTTTTAGGTTTTTACAGCCTTCCTCACTGATTTGAGCTCATACAACTCGTTTCAGTTAAAAAATTGACTTCAAACTAACAAATTTATGGATAAAATGTGGTATTTATCTCAGATTCTTGTATGTCAAAGTTTATCAAATTGTTTTTAATGTTTAATGTGTTTAAATGGTTAAATTAATTAGTCTAAGTTTAATTAGTGGCACAGAAGACGAAACCTGTTTTCTACTGGTTGTCTCTTGGTTTGAATCCTGGGTTTCCATGGTTCTCGTCAGCTTCCTGGCTCCTCTCCATGGGTCACAATCTAAAATATGACAGAGCCTCAAAAACAGTAAACTACTGATTTTTGTGTTGCCTCAAAATCCTTTTACATACCGCAACTGTGAGAAAAGCTCTGTATCCGACTGGATTGTGAGAATACAAACCAGTTTAGTTCGTCTGAGGGAAAAATTCCCGCGGGTGTTTCCACTGAAACAAAAAAGGTGAGTGGGGTGTATGGGTGTGGTTTTGATCCATATGAGGGTGTGGGAATGTAATGATGCCCATCTGATGAAGTCCGTTTATACACTTAAAATCTCACTCTTTTATTTTCCGTTGATATCAGTCATTGTTGACTGGTACCATAAAGGGTGTGATAAAACACCTAAAGCGTACTAAAATGTATCCAAATGTATTTTGTTTGTGTAGCTGACTTGTGGGAACAAAGCCATAGCATCTCATGTACCTCAGATTAAAACAAATATTTGGGGTTGGTTTGTCACAATCCTCAGTTTTCAGACCATCAGGCAAGTCGAGCAGGAGGTTAACGGAAAACATTATTTAAACAACAAAAGGAGCAAAATCTTCCAATAATCAGTGGGAACAGGAACAGGGCAGGTAATCAGACTAACAGGACGGACAGACAATCGGGCAGAAACTGGTACAGGCGAAGACAGAGGAGGACCGGGACATCTGCGTGCACAACAGAACAATGAGCACACGACTCAGTGATGGAGAGGACAGGTTGAAATAAGGTGGAGGTATGGTGAGTAATGAGTGCGCCTGGGATGATTGTGAGTGGAAACTGTTGTGACTGATCAGTGGCAGGAGAGACAGGCTGAGGAGTGAGAACTGACAGAAAAACAACAGGAACTGAATGAAACACTCAATGAGCAGAGAAGAAACATGAATACAAAGAAAACAGACACAGGGACAGATCATGTCATGGTGGACTGGTCCAGAGGCAGGGTGGTGGTCTAACAGACCAAAGCTCGGGGGCTCTTTCACAAGACGCCTCATTCTGGGGCCGACACGTGTTCGTGCCACCTCGGTGTGTCTTCTGAAAGGACCCATGTGGCAAGAGGGGTCAAAGACAGCTCAACTCTAGTGCCCCTCTGTGTGGAGGGGACAGAGGTGGACGGGCTGACGTGAAACACAGCTGCGATGAACATTTACAAATTTAAGTTTCTCTCTTCTGTTTTTTACAAATCAAAACAAAATAGCAACCAAACGGACAATCAAGAGGAATAGTAGTAAAACAAACAAACAAACAAACAAACAAACAAACAAAAACAGCTAGATTACAAGGAGATTTAGGAAACTAAAAACTGGAACGTCTGCGTTGGTTTTTGCCAGGAAATGTTTAAAGCCACTTAGAGAGGTCAAAGGTCGAGAGCTTCAGATCTTTTTACAAGATATTCCAGGAAACAGGAGCGGAGCAGGAGAAGGTCCTTTTGTCTAGTTCAGTCCTCACTGAGTGAACACTGCAGGTAATGATGTCCTGAGAGCGCACGCTGTAGCTGCACTCACGCAGAGACATGTAGGAGGAGATGTATGAAGGCAGCAGACCAGGAAGTGATTTAAAGATGAAGATGTACCAGTGGGAGAGTCTGTGTGGAGTTAATGATGTCCAGTTAACCAGTGGATACTGGGTGCAGTGGTGGGTATGATAATCACAGCCAGTTATGAATCTTAGTGCACCATGATAGACAGCATCCAACATCTGCAGCATCCAACATCTGCAGCATCCAACATCT